CGTCCCTCTACAGGAGGAGTGCTCAAGCACAGTCAAAGCATAGTCGGGGCACCATGTTTGCTGAGCATTGTTCGGCCATGTCGCACACGCTTTTTTGTACAGTCAACGCGCCTAGTAAGGACGCGTGCCTTCACCTAGGATGCCCTCGAGTCCTTGTCCCTGCGGCCCGTCCTTCGCCGTTTTCACTGGCCGCCCCCCGCCCCAGAAATCCAACTCCGGCCTCCAAGGGTCTTGCGTCCTTACCACCTGGCCTTCATACACGTTGTGACTGCAGTTTTTATTTCTCGTCCAAAACCCGCCTGTAGGGGGACGTGCCCGACCTGAGGCCAGCTGAGGCAGCGGCGGGCGGCCCTCGGGGACCCCCCTCGGGGAACCATGTGTGCTGATCATTGTTTGGCCATGTCGGAATCGCTTTTTTGTTTTTTTATTTCTCGTCCAAAATCCGCCTGTAGGGGGACGTGCCCGATGAATCCGCTCCGGAGCGTTCTGGAGCGTTTGCAGAGCGTTCCGGTTGAGGGCGCGCACTGGGGGGGCGAGAAATGGGGTGGGTAGCGAGGGCTGCCCAGGGGCCCTGTGGGGTCTCCAAGGGGGCCTTTCAGGGCCCGAAAAGGGCACCTTTTTCTCCTCCCCGCCAAGTATCGCTCTCTGATGGATTCGCGCCCGCTCTGGAACGCTCTGCGAAGGCCGCGGCGCCCGAAACCTCCTCCAGAGCCGCCAGATCCCAGAGTTTCTCGATTTGTCCTCCCCCCGATTGATCCTCGCCCTGGCCCTGGCTTCGTCTTCACCGAGGCCACGTCGATCGTCTTCAAGCCCAGAGCCTCCGACGCTCTGGGCTTCTCGATCGCGGCGTCTGCCCTGCATGTCGGCCTCCATGCTGCCATCGACAGCGGATCCGGGACGAAGAAGTGCCCCTGCAGGGGGACGGTGTCGGGAGCTTTGGGGCCGGGGATGTCTGGGATCCGATCGACCCGAATCCGATTTACCATCGACTCTGGCCGGCCCGATCCGACTGGCTCGCGGTACTGCGCCGCTCCGGCGTGGCCCGACGCTCGCACGGCGCAGCCGTGCGCCCCGGCGCGGCCGATCCGAGCCGATTTTGGGTCCGCCGCCGATGCGGCCCGATTGGGTGGGCGCTCCTGTGAGCAGGGCGGAGGGTCAGAGAGCGCCTTTCTCTACTTTGACAGGGCCACCAAAAAAGGAGCGTCACGGTTGTCAAACGCATCGCCGGTGAAGCCGACGAAGATGTGCAACATCCAACCGGTCGCTTGCCCAAAGTCTTGGCTTGACGCCAGGTGTGGCGCATCAGTTTCAGCTCGACAGAACAGGTTGGTTGCACCCCTTGACGTCCGCTTGGGGTGCTCCGCAGACCTGACCCCCCGTCCCATATTCCAATCTTTAGATGCTCGTGTTGGGGGCCTTCCTGGGGCCCACCTAGCGGATCTGTTCAACCCCCGTTCGGCGCAACTTCGGCTCAAGCTCGACTCAAAGCTCGACTCAGGTTCGTCTCAGGTTCGACTCGGGTTCGACTCGAGTCGACGGGCGTTCGACGCAGCTTCGACGCACGAGTGGAGCGAGTGGCTCCAGGAAGGTCCCCAGAAGGAGCACCTAACAATCTACTTTGAGCGCCTTCGACTGCTTCCGCGATCGAGCCGGCGCCCCTCTTCCCTCGACTCCTTTTCGGGGGCGAAGGGCCCCCAATGTTTCCATGGCTTTGTTGTGAAACTTGGCGCGGTCGATCCGATGCATTTCTGGCTTCCCGCCGATGCGGCCCGATCCGATGCACACGCCGATGCGATCCGATTTCAAGTTCGTTGTCGATTGATCGTGTCCTCGATCCTGAACTTCCCAGATCCTCCATCTCACCAGCCCGAAAGCGTACCGCCTATCCTGCCGCGAGCCGGGCCGCGCATCGATTCCATGACAGCCCGGTTCGGGACATTTAAAACGACGCGAAGATCGGGACAAAATCGGATCGGGATAAGTCGAAATCTCTGAGAATCGGCGAGTTTGGAGGTTATATTGGGCGCCGCGGCCGCTCCAGAGCGTTCCGGAACGCTCTGAAAGCGCTCCGGAACGCTCTGGAGCGATTTATCCCGATCCTAGCCCTGTTTTAACATTGCAGTGGTGCGTCACCGTTTCTTACGTGCCCTCTGTGTACCTCGTGGCGAACAGAGGGTCGCACTCCGCTTTGCGGGCTCCTGGTCTCCTCGGCCCGTCCTCCCCTCTTCGTGGCCGTCGTCCTCCTCCCGCTCCACCTTCATGCTTTTAGATGCGTTCGTTGCAAGTGACAAGCTGCGGGTATCCAAACTTGCTTGATCAGGCTGCGTCGCCGCGGCACCAGTATTTCCAGACTGCAGCAGATACCGCTCCCCAATATTGGCATCGTAATGTTTCGGTGCCGATCTCGATGATTCCCCCAAGACTGCCTCGACTCGGGATTGCCAATTTTAGGAGTACTGACGGTCTCGAGGCTATTTAAATCTTCGATCCTCGACTTGTGATCCTCCGATTTCGAAATCCATCCTCTGATTTTCCCAATTTCGATCCTTGATCCCCGAGTCCCGAGGCTGGTTAGATCTTTCTATTTCCATACTGGAGCCTCAATCGACGACGACAGCGGGGAGGAGTCGCCGGCGCGGCTAGGACTGGGATAAATCGTTCCAGAGAGTTCCGGAACGAACTCTCTCTCTGAGCGTTTTGGAGAGCTCTGAAATGGCCGCGACGCCCGCCGAGACATCCTCCAGAACCGACGGGTCCCAGAGGTACCCGATGTGCCCTGGTCCGATTTTGTCCCGGTCTTGTCGTCGTCTCAAGGCGGGACGAGCCCAGGGTCTGCGCGGTGCATGCCAGGTGAGCTCCAGCACGTTCCGCTTTTGCAGCCCAGCGGTGCTGGACGAGCTGGTGGTCTTCGTCAGGGCCGAGGCCCCCCAGCTGCTGCGGCGGGTCCCCACTCACAAAAAGATAGATAAGTACATATGTATGTATATCTATATATATGTATACATAAACAGTAATGACCTTCGCCCCATCCTGCCACCGTGCCTGGGTTGTGGGTCTGAGGCTTCGTGGACGTTAGTTGGGATCTCGTGCGAGGCCTATCGGGGATCTCTTGGAGGCAGTTTGGAGGCATCTGGGGGGCCGTTTTGGAGCGTGATGGGGCCTCTTGGAGGCATTTGGGGGCCTCTTGGAACCCCCTTGGAGTTATCTTGGGCCCTCTCGGGGCGGAAGGCTTGAATGTTTTGTTCGTGATCCCCCTCTTGGAACCGTCTCGGGGCCCTCTTGGACCGTCTTGGGCGCTTCTGGGACCATCTTTGTTCACTCTTGGGCCGTCTTAGGGCCGACTTTGGGCCGTCTTGGGGCGATCTTGGAGGCCTCTTGGGCTGTCTTCGAGCGCAGGAAAACCGAAATGGCGATAAGACCAAACCTTCAAATACCAGTGGGTAATAATGGATTTAGGCCTTTCGGGGTCTTCTTCGGTTGACTCTTGGACGCCTCTTGCGGCGTCTTGGAGGCCTCTCGGACCGTCTTGGGGCCATCTTAGGCGTCTGGGAGCGGTCTTTAGGCGTCTCGAAGCCCTCTTGGACTGTTTTGGGATTCTCTTCGGGCACTCTTGGCCCGTTCTGGGGCCCTCTTGGGCCCGAGGCGGGGAGACGTGGGCGAGCCCAGAGAGCACGCGGCAAGCCCCGGGAAATTAGAGACTTTGAGGCCCAGACCGTTTAGGAACCCTCAGGATCGAGTATTTAGGCTCAGAGAAATCGGCAAAGGTTGTGTATATGTATGTATGTATGTATCTAGATGTGTATATGTATATGTGTATATATATATGTATATATGTGCGTATATATATACACATATTTATTTAGATATGTATATATGTGTTTTTTTTATATATATATATATATATATATATATATATATATATATATATATATATAGGTGTGTGTACCCGCTCCGTGCCGAAGGGCACGGTGGCGGATCTATACATAGCTCCCAATTGAGGGGGCGGCGGGGTCGTAGGCAGTTTGTCAAACTCTGGAGAAGCCCGCCGCAGGCGCCGATTTTCGTACACATAAAACAACGAGCCCGCCGCAGGCTCCGATTCTTTTGTCAAAGCATCGTGGGTGGGTCACGGAGTGTGTCGCGGGTCGCGGGGTGGTTGCGGGCGGGTCGCGGGCGGGTCGCGGGCGAGGGCGACGACAATAACGTACTAACACAACACATCATCGCAACAACAATCCGCATTGCGGACCCCCACTTCAGCCACGCACCCAAGACAGTGAACAACCGTTCGTGCCCATCACCCTGATACATACACATGCATATTTTTAAGAATAGGATGACGAAGTTTACATTCACATGTAAAACATTTATATACACATATGTGTGTGCATATAGATGTGTATTGTTTTCTCCATCTCTGAGCGAGGGGGCTGAACGGTCTCAGACCGTCCCTGGGTGCGCGGCTGATGTGGCCCTCCGTCGGGCCGATCTCGCTCGTTACTGCTGTTGTGCTGTTGTTGTGCTGCTATTGTCGTCGGTCCCCCCTCGAGCCACCCGCGCCTCACCTCGAGACCCACCCGTCGACCCACCCGCCACCCGCCTGCGACCCGCCATGCGATCCACACCGCGACCCACCCCGCGACCCACCCAGATCCCACCTCCTCCCCCTCCTCCCCCTCCTCCCCGTCCTCCTCCTCCTCCTCCTCTTCTTCCTCCTTCTCCTTCTCCTCCCCCTCCTCCTCCTCCTCCTCCTCCTCCTCCTCCTCCTCCTCCTCCTCCTCCTCCTCCTCCTCCTCCTCCCCCTCATCCTCATCCTGGTCGCCTCTCCCTCTTGCTCCGCCTCCTCCTCTTCCTCTTATTCCTCCGGCCCACCACGCCGCGGCCCATCCGAAAATGCAGCGCCCGCGGTGGGCTGGTCTTGCAATGTGCGCAAGAGGTCGGCGCGTAAGCGCCGAGCTTCTGCAGAGCCCCGCAGTCTGCCGGCGACACCGCCGCCCCCTCGATCTTATCCGCAACTGCTAGGGTGTTTGTTTGTCGCGGCGGTGGCGATCGTCCTCCTCCTCCTGCTCCTCCTCCTCCTCCTCCTCTTCTTCCTCCTCCTCCTCCTCCTCAGGGCACGGTGGCCTAGAGCGTAATGCGAAACGGCGCATCTGCACCAAGGAAGCGGAAGGAGAGGAGGGCGGCCGCGGATGGGGGACCGACGTTGGGCAAGGCATTCAGGGCGTGAAGTTATGCCTAGCGGAGTCTTCTGGGGCCTCAGTCCCCTTAGGGGCCGACGATGTTCTACACCGTCACCCTCCCCGAAGGCACATGCAAAACTCACCTGCTGGCGTCTGCGTACGGGGTCGTGTGGCGCAGGCCTGAGGACCAAGGTTCAGCGATCGCGGTTGTTCGGACGTCCAGGGCAGCTCTGGTCGACACGGCTGGATTCCCCTCGGGATTCTGGCTTGACCGCACGATCCCATCCCCTAGTTTCGATTCCGCTCCCGATGCGATCCGACACGGACCGATCCTCTCCCCGGTCTGCAGGAGCCGAGCCCGATCCGCGATCCGATCTCGTTCCGATTCCGCGCCGATTCGAGCGCGACGTGATCTGTGTCCGATCGGATCCGGCACGCGATTCCGTCCATCTTTTCTTCCCCCTCCCCTTCCTCCTCCTCCTCCTCCTCCTCCTCATCATCATCATCATCATCATCATCCTCCCCTCCTCCTCCTCCGCCTCCTCCTCCTCCGCCTCCTCCTCCTCCTCCTCCTCCTCCTCCCCCTCCTCCTCCTCCTCCTCCTCCTCCTCCTCCTCCTCCTCCTCCTCCTCCTCCTCCTCCTCCTCCTCCTCCTCCCCCTCCTCCATCTCCTCCTCCGCCTGCAACGGGAGGTCCAGCGGCACCCCTGAGACCCACACCAAAGGCGGCTTGTGTTTGTTCAGTTCGGGCGCGCTGGTTCCGTTTGGCCATCCAGCAGCAATGTCTCATGGCGCCAGCATCGCAGAACAGGTCTCGTTCGGACAACGATAGGATGGGCCCGGAGTGGCCTGGAGAAGTTCGTTCCGGAATTCGAGGTGAGTTTCGTGCGGATTTTTTGGGGGGCCAGGAGTGAAGACTGAAAAAATCCACGCGAAATTCACTTCCTTTTTCACTCGCCGTGTCGGGGGTTTGCAGTGACAGAGATCCACGAGCAAATCCGCTGCAGCACGTCTGCGAGGTCGGCACAGTGAAGTGCTCCGTGCCCCGGGACTGTAAAGAGTCGGCACGGAACGACAAGCTAAGCCTTGGGATTGCAGAGGAGCTATTGCTCCTGCTCTGGGCAGTTTCTGTCGGGGGTCGCCCGGGCCGCTCTCCGTCTCCGCGGCTGGAGCCCCCCTTCTGAAAAAGCTTGGGCAGAGCGCGTTCAGGGCGAGCTTCGACGGCCGACCCCCTCTCGACCATGAGACAAACGACACCACCCCACCCGGGGCCCTCCATGCTCTTCAGGAGGGAAAAAAAACACAGACACAATCAATCTTCGATTCCCAGGAAAATATGGGAAAATATGGGAAGTGGGGGGGAAGACAAAAACCCAGAAAATATCGGAAAATATGGGGACTATTTTTATTTGTGTGTATTTATTTGTGTGTCCTAATTTCCCTTTAGCTCTGGACGCCCGAAATGGGTACTGAAAGAATGGGTACAGTGCCCAACAGCAATTCCTGATCATTGTGAACAGGATTCGCTGTCCACGCCGCCGCGGCCTGTGTCCACTCGAGACAGAAGGCCGCCTGCCCCACAGCGGCCGCTGTCGGCTTCGGACAACAGTTGCTGTTGGGCATAGTGCCCATTCTTTCCGTTCCCATTTCGGGCGTCCAAGCATGCCGCGCTGCGGCCCATGGGGGGCCGTAGCGTAAGTATACCCCCCATGACGTGGACTACCCGCCTGACGTAGCCCGGACCTCGGTGACACCGAGCCCCGCCCGCGCGAGAATGGGCGTGGCGCCTGACGTCTGGCGACACGCTCGTCTTGGCATGGTGCTCCAGCTCTGTGCGTGGGCCACATTTCAGATTGAAACTGTTGCCAGCGCCAGCCATGCCTGCCGTTGCGAAAGTTGTTCTCGCCTCAGCGCCGGCCACATCCATGATTGCGAGTGTTGCTCTCGCTCCAGCGCTGGTCAGATCCATGGTTGCGAATGTTGCTCTCCCCTCAGCGCTGGCCATATACACGATTGCGAAAAGTGGCTGTCGCCGCAGCGCCGGCCAGCTTCCTATTGGAGCCGAAGAGGGGTCGGCGATACAGTTGGCACTTTCGCATTGCATGTTGCTGTGTCGCCCCGTTCTGGTGCAACTTTGCTACGCCGCGCGCGTGACGCACTGGTGTCTCCGAGCCGTTGGTCATGTTAGTTAAATTTATTTATTAATGTGTCAGGTTAGCTTTGGCGGAGTGCCGACAGGTCGGGTTAGGGACTTGCTACGTTAGGGGGGCGCCTTGTACCACGCAAAACCCACGCCAGATTTCCTGGTATACGCTGAGTCCCGTGGGGCCGAATGTGGGGTGGTGTCGTTTGTTTTTTGGTTCACGGCTTCCTCTTCTCGAACAGGGAACATTTGTAGAGAGGACCGCGCGGATTTCTTGCGTCGGTTTCGGGCCCCTCTGGCGGCGCCTCTGTCGCCGCCCCTGGCGCGCCCCACGCGCTGGGAAGGGGCGGGGACAGTGCAGATTCAAGAGATCCGCGCGGACTTCCGAAAGATCAGTTCCTCTATCCTCCCAACTCCTCCTCCTGCCCCTCCGCGCAGCACGGTAGTCTCGACTGGCGCCGCCGCAGGTTTCTTGGTACGCCCTCCGGCGGCGAGAGGCGCCTCGTTCGATGCAGCTTGTCGTGCTGAAAGGTTCTCGTCCCCTGCCCCCCAGGCAGGGCTCGAGCCAAACGGTGTTTTGGTAATGTCGTGGGCCGTGTTCGTTTTGAGCTCGTGTTGCAGCGGAGGCGGAATCCAAGACAGGACGAGGGATGACGAACACACCGACAACGGAACATACTGTTTCGCTCGAGCCCTGCCCCCCCGGGGGCGCTCACGCCGTCGGGTTGGGATGCCCCCAGGGTAAATCAATTCGGTAGTCGACCCCCTGCTCGCATCCTCCTGCTGCCGTTCCCGACGTCTCGGCCGGCGAGGGCCGATCGGCAGGGGGGCGCCTGACCGATCCGCACCGAGCTGTGACGACCGATCGACGGCCGCGGCTGCGGCAGGGGCCCCGCCGCAGCCTCCTCCTCTCCTCCTCCTCCTCCGCCTCCCTCCTCCTTCGTCCTCCCCCGCGTCCTCCGCCACATCCCTCGTCCTCCTGCTCCCTCCCTCCTCTCCTGCTCCCTCCTCCCTAATTATTATCCTCGTCTTATGATGTTCCAACCTGCTTTAGCCTTGACCACGAGAAAGAAGTTCCAGCACCAGAAAGCGTACCCCAAAACTCGAGGGTTTTCGCGTGTCGGGCCCTGGGAGACTCGTTTGGCGTTGTTTCGACACTGTTTCGACACTCTCTTGACACTTTTCCGGGGGCTCGAAATTGTTTCTGGGATTGGGCCCTTAAAGTAAGAAGGGGAGCACCATAGTCCTCGGCCCCCCTCCCCCGTCCCCCCAGGGCTGTTCGGAAGAGCTGCCGGCAGCTGCGCCCGAAATCGGCCCGTCGTTGCATCGGTCACAGGCTTGCGAAGGAAAGTGCAAAGTTTGCACGACAGGGGGACAGTTACGGAACCTGCGCCTGCGTGGTTCCGCGGTTTTTGCTTCCAGTTTCGTCATCATCGTGTGTGATTGTGCGAAAAGTTTGCGATCGCCGTCCTCAATGCAGTTTGGCAATTCATTTAGACTTAGCCCGTCTTAGTATTGCGTGGTGGACCAGTGTGTGTGTGTGTGTGGACCAGTGTTTGTGTGTGTGGACCAGTGTGTGTGTATGTGTGTTAAGCGTCGTAAGCACTTTAAGTTGCCAGCAACATTGGAGTACCTGTTGCACAGTTCGAGTACCGCTGGCAGTCGCATTGAATCGAGGGCACAACCATTGCCTTGCTCTCCGCTCTTTGTCGTTCTTTCTGAAGTGCGACCCGCCGATAGGAGACAGGGTTCGATCCTTGCCATTGTCCAGGCGAGGTCAGATCTGTTCTGCCTCCCCTCCTCCCTGTTTCGCCTCCCTCTCTTCGCTCATCCCCTGCAGAGAGCCTGGGCTCGTCGCCTCCCTCCTCAATCCTCCTCGATCCTCCTCCTCGATCCTCCTCCTCCTCCTCCTCCTCCTCCTGATCCTCCTCCTCCTCCTCGATCCTCCTCTCCTCGATCCTCGTCGATCCTCCTCCCCCGCGCGAGAACCCGCCGAGGCCGCGGAGGGCGCCTCCCCCGCGGCCGGCTTGGCCAACCCCGCCCAGCACAGGGAGCTGCAGGCGCGCGGTCCCCCTCGGTGGTGCGGCGGCGCGGCGCGATCAGGGCCCCGATGCTCCTCCTCGTTCTCCTCGTTCTCCTCCTCCTCCTCCTCTCTCCTCCTCTTCCTCCTCCTCTCTTCCTCCGTCTCCTCCTCCTTCCTTCCTCCTCCTCCTCCTCCTCCTCCTCTCCTCCTCCTCCTCCTCCTCGCCTCTTTCTCGCCCCTTCTTCCTCCTCCTCCGCCACCTCTCCTCCTCCGTTCCTCCTCCTCCTCTCCTCCTGTTCTCCTCCTCTTCCTTCGCCTCCTCCTCCGCCTCCTCCTCGTCCGTCTCCTCTCTCCTCCTCTCCTCTCCTCTCCTCCTCCTCCTCCTCCTTCCGTCTCTCTCCTCCCCTCCTCTCCTCCTCCTCCTCCTCCTCCTCCCTCCAACTCCTCCTCCGCCTCCTCCTCGTCCCTTCTTCTTCCTCCTCCTCCTCCTCCTCCTCCTCCTCCTCCCTCCCCTTTGGGGCGGCTGGTCATTCTGGGGCTTTCAGTTGACGGTGCTGGGACCCGGTGACGGCCCCAGACCGAACATCGGGGTCGACAAGAACGGGGGAGTATTGGGGTGTGGGTATCATGGCGGGGGCCTTCAAATATCATCGAGATCGGGGCTCAATACACGGTGGTCGCTGCAAATGGGGTCAGTCAGAGCGCTGGATCTTGCAGGATCCTGCAGAGCCAGAGGTGCATTGACCCCGGCTTGGGTGCAGGATCCTGCATGTTTTTGCAGGACCTTGCAATGCCTGACTGACCCAGGTTTGGATTTACCCGGGTCAGTAGATCCCCGACAAGATAAAAGGACCCTTAATAATATCATGGTGAAGGCGTGGCCTCACTTACTCAGGTCCCGATTCTTGTATCATGGGTAATAATTATAGGCGGTTTGGTTCGATACACCTGCCGACAAAAAACTTGTTCCTAATGTTTCGGGCCCTCCTAATTTGGGTCCCCTCCCAAAGGGTTTGAGTTCCTTTTTGGTTAATCAAGATATTCCAGATTGCATATGCCCCCCCTCTTCAGAGTAATAACTGGCAACAAACTGCGATCTTCTCTTGTATCCGCCGCGGGATCGACGTGGAGTCGACGCGGGCTCGACCTGGATCCGACGCGGACAGTGGCGCGTTGGGAGAAATAAGGCACCCCAAGTATGCAACATCAAGACATCAAGTGGGGTGAGGTGCCGTTCAGGGTCTGTCTGAATCTGGCCGATCCGATCCGATGTTGACTCTGGCCAGCCCGAGCCGATGAGATTCCGATGTTCCGGCCATTATTGCACGGCGCCGTTGGGCAGCTTGGCGCGGCCGATCTGGCTTTCGCCGAGCGCGTCCCACTACTCGCAGAGTGCCTACTCGCAAACGTCCGGAACGCACCTGTCTGCTCTGATGCAATTCATCGCAGATCCCCCGCGGGGGGTCCAGGCCAGTTGCGAGTAGTTCTACGTGGCGGCGCACCCGCAGGCACGCAGAGGGCACGCGTGGCGACGGGGGCGTCGCCACGCAGAGCTTCTAAAGACCAAACATGTTGAAAACCAATTGTTTCCACTACTAAAGTACTTTGCGAGTAGTGGAACGCGCTCGTCGAGACTCGAAGCTCGAGGTGTCGAGGTCTTCGGGGGTGCCTTCGCAGGGAGGCCCCCCCATTGAGCCCCCCCCCCCCCGGACGCCGGGGGCCCCAAGGGGGCCCCAGAGCGCTCTTGGAAGGCAGCGAGATGGGCAGCTCCGAGAGGGTTTTGAGAGGGCCCCACGAAGGGGCAAGGCGGGAACTTCATGGCTTCTCGAGGCAGCATCGGTGTTGGTTCAGCCGCAGGCGCGTCTGGCACCCGAGTTCTCGACGGCGGCGTCAGAGAGCTTCTTGGTCGCACGTCCTCCATGCCCGTCGGTGCATCTGATGATTGAACGGTTTGCGGACAACCCGTTTGCTTTCCGACGTGTCTGTCGGTGCATGTGTGCGCGTATCGCCGCGCTTCGCCTCGCGTGGGTCCGTAGATTTCGTCCACAGGATCGCGTTATCATGCGCTTGGATTGGGCTACTGGCGTCCCATTCCGATCACTACCACTCCCATGGTCAGGTCCTCCCTGAAATGGAGCCGAAAGATTTCCCACGAGTGCCCGAAGACGGTTCCGACGGTCCTCAAGGCGGCACAAGATTATCCCAAGACGGCACAATATTCTTGGAAGATGGCCCAAGTGCACCGAAAGTCGATTCAACAAGGTTCCACGATTGCCAGAAAAAAAACAGTGTTCCAAGGGCGATCAGAAAGAGCCCCGAAAGGCCAAAATGACAGTTATCACAGCTTGTCGTTTGGTTTTGACAGATGCTAGTCTTATCGCTGGTCGGTCCGAAGAACGCCCAAGAGGTTCCCAAGATGGCCCCAAGACGCTCCAAAAGGGCACATGGGACACCCTCAGTTGACCCCAATCTTGCTCAAGATAGCGCCCAAACGGCGCAAGGGGGCCCAAGGACGGCCCAAGAGCACACGTGTTGAAGTTTCGGGTTTTGAAACAAGCGGGCGAAAACCCCATTTTGAAAAGAACCGTCCTCCACCCTTCTCACTGTTGAATATTTTGCACACCGAACGTGCGCCAGCGCTAAGGCAAGGACTCAGTGGTGAAAGCGACCTGTGCCCCATCCTTGCAACTGTTGAAACATTGTGAACCGAATTTGCTGGGTGCTTCTAAGGCGAGATGCCCATTTTGAACACGACTCTTCCTCCATCCTTCAAGCTGGTGCAGAATTTTCAAGCGACAGGGCGCGGCGCTGAGGCGAGAGCCACCATATGAAAAAGGGCCCCGTCATTCTTGAAGTTGCTGCACCAAGTTCAATCGAATGTGCGCGGCCCTAAGGCTAGAGCCACAGTTTAAGAAGGAGCTTGGAGCGATTGCAAACTTTAAGCCGAATGTGCGCGGTGCTAGAGCTCTCCTTTGATAACGACCAGTCTTCCATCCCTAAATATGTTGCGTATTTCAGAATGCTGGATCTCAAAGAATGAGGGAGTCTACGGCGAAACGCCCGGCCTGCCCTCCTACCAACACGTCTTGGGACGAGACAAGGAGGAGTTGTTGAAAGGAGAAGGAGGGGAGGAGGAGGAATCGGAATCGGAATCGGAACAGACGCGAAGCGTCACTTACAAGCAAACCTCTTCTTGGTGAGCACGCACGGCACACGCGCACGCACACGCACACACAAGAGGCAAGACAAAAGACATAACTCTTATGCAACAGTGTGTTCACCTTATTTCATGTCCCTCCACAAAGTAAGCACAAGAGCTGGAGAATCGTGATGCACAACACAGCCTCCACCCTGTATCAGAAAATGCCAACGCCATGCAAATGTGTTCTCCCGTCTGCAACGACAAGCAATACACATAACAGAACCGAGACTACCTGATCAAGTTCCTCCACTGAGTAAGCACCCACGCAATTAACGAAGGCCACAACAAAATGCCGTAACGAAAAAGTAATGTGCACCTCTCTCATGGTCACTGCTGCTTGCACTTCTCATCTGAATGGGTTGTGGAACCTGGCGGATGCGAAACGGGTCTCGAAGGAGGCGGACCTGGAGAACCCATCACTTGGTTCAGCGCGGAAAGGACATCTGGCGAAAGCGGGATGGCCGTCCGACTGCCAGCAGCTCCATTTGTGCGCCCCGGAGAAGCGCCACCAGCGACCCGTGGCTCCCGCTGAAAGGCCCCCGCCGCGACCGCGGGGCCTTTGCTGGGAGCGGGGGGCACGCCGAGCATCACCTCCACTCTCTCCTCCGACTCCCCCTTCACGACGACGCTGGCCGAAATCCTGGGAGGTTCTCCATGGGCTGCCGCAGGAGCGTCGACGGGGACTGCCGCCTCCAGTCCGCCGCTCGCCTCCCCCACCTTGCCATCCCTCCCCAGGGCAGTCATCCCCGTAGGGGCCCTGTTGGGGCTGTGGGAGGCTGGGGGGCCGAGGCATCGCCACCAGCAGCACCACGAGCTTCACGATCGCCGCCTGCGGCGCGAAGGACGTTGGCCAGGGCCTCCCCCAACAGGGTCGGGCGGCAGCCCCTGTGCCCCATGGCGTGGAACCCACGTAGGAGCGCCTGCGCTGCGCGAAACTGCGCCCGCGCTGCCTGCGCCCTCCGCTCCGCAGCCGAGCGCCGGGGACGGCCAGCGGCGCGCCAAGGCGGCTCCATGGCGGGCGCGGGCGAAGGGCGAAGGGAAGGGAGAGGGAAAGAGAGGGTGGGCAGCGGCGTGGGCCGCCTGGCGCGGGCTCGCGAACCCGCGGGGGTTCGACCCGAGTTGGCGCTGAGGGGAGGAGGAGGAGGAGGAGGAGGAGGAGGAGGAGGAGGAGGAGGAGGAGGAGGTGGAGCCAGTGAACCTTCGGACCATCCATGGAAACCGTCTGTAACCCCGTGGAGCCCAGGAGTGTGCGCGGGAGGGGGGAACGGGGGGGGGGAGGAGGAGAAGGAGCGCGACGAGGAGGCGTAGGGACGAGGAGGAGGAGTTGGAGGAGGCAGAGAACGGCGGTAGGAGTCGGGGGGAGGAGTCCCTAAGGGCTCGACGACTCGTCTCCAGTCGCCTTGCGCGGACCAGGCTGGATGAATATACGCAGACTGACGCCACTCGCAGGAAGTCCCGACAATCCGAGACAGACCCAGAGATGTTCGGGACGAGTTTGGAGCAGACTGTGGGAGATTCGGCGCGACCCGAGGTGGCCACAGATGCCGTGAGGGTCCCTGGGCCTTGTCAGGAGTGTGTTGCCCTTGGTCCGAGGTGCCCCCGGGAGTGCCCCAAGGAGGCCCCCGCGGCCTCCGGAGAGCCCCGCCACGCGGCCCCGAGGGCCCCACGCGCCCGAGAGCGGAGCGGAAGCTCGGGGGCACCTTGGACCCGGGCAGCTGCAGCAGCCACCGAGGCTTTCGCCAGGGAAGGATAAGGAGAGAGTTTGAAAAAGGAGACAGCGACCAATGATCGTCGGTTCCCAGGCCATGACAGGAGGATGAGGAGGAGGAGGAGGAGGAGGACGAGGAGGAGGAGGAGGAGGAGGAGGAGGAGGAGGAGGACATCGCAGCGCAGGAGGCCCACGCCTCGGGCGCCTTGACGCCTTCGCCCTTGGGGCCCCGGGCCCCTCGACCAGGGCTCGGGCGGAACGGTGTTTTTCGGGGTTGGGCGGACCTCCTACCCTGACATGTCGACTGAGGAATTGGCCGTTTTCGGTTCGCGAGAGGGCGTCGCGGCCGTTATTGTTGCGGGTCCGGGTCCGTCGGTTTCGGTCCCAGGCCGTTTTCACTAAGGGGAGGTCTACTAAAGGGAGGTTTGTCCACCGCCGAGTTTTGGCGATCTCGTGTACGGTTTTCGTTTTGATTTCGCTTCGCAGCAAGAGCTGAACCAAGACGGAGCCTCCGAGGAGCAGAAGGTACCGATGCCGCCGCCCGTCGCCCGTTCTCCCTCGCTTCGGCCTCCGCGGAGGCTCTCGCTGCCACCGCTGGATTCGCCTCGAAACCCTGGTCAGAACGTTCCCTGGGAGATAGTTAAAAATTAAGATGGGAACGATTTTCCGACTATTTTTAGATTGCGTTCGAGCGTGTTTTTGTTCTTTTTCATTTTTCGCCCAAAATCTGCATGTGGGAGGACATGCCCGACCTGTAGCGGTATCTAGACTTGTGGGTTCCCAAAACGGAGTCGCACGAAAAGCACAACGAAAACGAAGCACATTGCTGCTCGAGCCCTGCCGGACCCTTCGACCATCTCTCTGGGACCGGTTTCTCGTCCTGAGCAGTTGCTTGACAGTCCCAGGATCCGAAGCCGACCTCCAGAGGCCGAATATTTAGACACAGTGTAGACTCTGTCATATTCGAGTCTCTGGAGGTCCTTGGGAGTAGGGCATGGCAGGAAAAGGATGAGGAGGGCGACGGAGACATCGATCGTCGACCAGGCGCGCCTGAACAATCGCCTGCGGCTGTGCAGCGTGCTCCAGATCCTGATGAGGCACGAGCGGGCTCGGCAAGGCGGCGTTCGTCGTCGTCGCCTCCGCTGTGTGTGGGGGGGCTAGGAGGATCAGGAGGAGGAGGAGGAGGAGGAGGAAGAGGAGGAAGAGGAGGAGGAGGAGGAGGAGGAGGAGGGAGGAGGGAGGAAGGAGGAGGAGGAGGAGGAGAAGGAGGAGGAGGAGGAGGAGGGGGGAGGAGAGGAGGAGGAGGAGGAGGAGGAGGAGGAGGAGGAGGAGGAGGAGGAGGAGGAGGAGGACGTACGCACGTAATTACGCACGCACCCGCGCGCGCGCCCGCCCGCTCGCCCGCACGCCCACCCGCACGCACGCACGCACGCACGCACCAGAGGTCCACTGGAGAGGGAAAATGTCCACTGTGAGGCATTTCGGGGCCTCTTGGAGATCTTGTGGGGGTGTCTGAAGGCTTCTTGCCTTCTTGGGGCCATGTTAGGGTTCTCTTGGGCCGTCTTGGAGCCCTCTTGGGCTGCCTTCAGGCCCTCAGGGGGGCCTTGTGGGCCGTTCTAAAAGGAGTTTGCGGGCCCCTTCAGCCGTCTTGGACGCTGTCCAAACCAAAAAGGTGGATAGTCCATAAATGCTAGTGCTCCCACGAGGTTTGGGCGATCTGTGCATCTTGGGAGCCTCTTGTTGGTCCGCGTGGAACCCTCTTGGGGGCGTCTTCGGAGCCATAATTTGGCAGTCTTTTGAAGCCGTCATGCGTGTTTTTACGAGGACTCCTCGGCGTGTTGGGGCCCGGCTTGAGTTGGCGTGGATGGCATCGTGCGCATCTCGGAGGCCACGGAGTGTAGGTCTCGAAGCTCCAGAGGCCCCAGGGGTGCGTTGGTGAGCTCTGCCCCCCTCACCCCTTACGCCAACCCCAGCGGAGGGGGAAAGAGGGAGGGGGCCAGCCAATCATCTCGCGCGCCTCTGCACCCGCGGCAAGAGGGGATCGGCGGATTCCTTCCATCGCGTCCTGGTCAATCCTAGATTCCCTGGCAGTTCCTATTATTCAATGGCGTCGCTCATTCCGCCGGCTCGTTTTGTGCCATCGCAGTCGTTTGCCTGCGCGTTCGTGGCCTCTTGGGGCTTCTTGGGGGCCGTGTGGGGGGCTCTTGGGCCGCTTTTTGGGCCTCTCGGGAGCCTCCAGGGGCCTCCAGGGGGTCCTGGGCTCTCTTGGGGGCCTATTCGGGCTTCCTGGGGGCCTCTTGGGGCGGAAGGCTCGAATTGGTGGTTCGTGTTCCCCTTCTTGGGCCCCTCTTTGGGCCGTCTTGGAGCCCTCTTGGGCGATCTTGGGCGCCTCTGGGGCCGTCTTGGAGCCCTCTTGGGCCGTGCTGGGTCCCCCTTGGGGGCCTCTTGGGGCCCTCGTGGGTCCTCATGGGTCTCTCTTGAAGGCCTCTTGGGTCGTCTTGGGGCGATATTTTGGGCCTCGTGGGCTGTATTTGAGCGTCGGGAAGACGAACAGATGAGAACGCCAAAATCTTTGAACAACCGAATGGAAATTATTGTTTTTTAACTCCTGGGCCACTCTTGAGACGCTACTATTTGGCCCTCTTGGAGGCGTCTGCGGCCATCTAGAGGCTATCTTCGGCGTCTTGGACCCATCGGTCGGCGATTCGGAGCTCTCTTGGACCGTCTTGGGGACTTTTTGGGCCCTCTAGGAGCGCTCTGGGACGCCTGAAAGCCGCGCCGAGAAGGAAACACCATCTCTGGGTCGAACCTCCCGGGGTACTTTTCATCCAGGGACCCCCAGGGGCCGCCCCGCGCGCGCGAACTAGAAATATTGCTTAACAGTTGCCGGAGATGTTGGCACGCCTCTGGCCCGTTGGGCCGGCGATTTTTGTTTTATTGTTACAGCATCGAGAATCGAGGAGAGGGAGGAGAAGAAGAAGGAGGAGGAGGAGGAGGAGCAGGAGAAGGAGCAGGAGAAGGAGCAGGAGGAGGAGGAGGAGGCGGAGAAGGAGAAGGAGAAGGAGGAGGAGGAGGAAGAAGAAGACGAAGACGAATAATAACACTAATAATAATAATATTCATAATAATAATAATAATAATAATAGTAGTAATAATAATAATAATAATCCGAATGCTACTACTCATCATACTAATAATACAAATAATAATAATGATGATACTACGAATGCGAACAATGATAATAGCACTAATAATATAATAAAAAGAGGAGGAGGAAGAGGAGGAGGAGGAGGAGGAAGAGGATGTGGTGGCGGTGGAGGAGGAGGAAACAGAGGAGGAGGAGGAGGAGGGAGAGGGGGAGGGGGACTCTGACCTCCAGCGTAACTGCAATAGATGATTCGTACTCCCTCCTCCCAATAATGGGCAACTGTGTTGTTTGCCAGGCGCGTACTTGAGGGGTGCCGACACCCAACAATGATCGGCGAATAATTATTCCGCCGTCGCCGTTGCGGAGGAAGAGGCGAAGGAGAAGGAGAGAAGGAGGAGAAGGAGGAGGAGGAGGAGGAAGAGCAGGAGGGGGAGGGGGAGGAGGAGGAGGAGGAGGAGGAGGAGGAGGCGGAGGAGGAGGAGGAGGAGGGAGCAGCAGAAGAAAAAGAAGAAGAAGGACAGGACGAACTGTTGGGTGCGCAGAGTCCACTGCCAGCCAACAGCTCTGGGAGGGGGGGGGGACCGACACCACTGAGGACCTCCCGAGGTCACATGAACAAAAGAAGATGTTGAGGTCTTTCGCTGTGTGATGCGTCTGGGGGCCTGACCTCTGGACCCCTTCCCCAGTTGGGGGACCCGCGCGTGATGGGGGGGCGATAACTGGGGGGGGGGGGGGGGGCGGCCAGCGGGGGGCTGCCGGAAAGGGCCCTTTCGAGCCCAAAAGGGGGCCTTCAGGGCCCGAAAAGGGCATTTTGATTCGCAGGAGTGGATCAACGGTCGGTTCCCAGGAACACATGGGAACGTATGGGACGTGGGGGGGACGACGAAGGCCAGGAAAAGATGTGGAACTCCTGGGGAATCTTGGGATCTGTGTACATTTCTTTGTGTGCCCCTGGGCCCCCTCGGATTCTCCCCCCCGCGGATCGCCGCCCCGTGAGGCCGCGCCCAGCCCAGGGCCGCCTCCTCGCTCCGAGTGGTCTCCTGGCGGCCCGAGAGAGGCCAGCCTCCAGAGGGCCCCGAGCACGCGGAGAAGCCTCAGCCGATGCTCTCTCGAGCCTCGGGAGGTCCGCCGCCGCCGCCGCCGCCCCTCCCCGTCGAGGGAACAAGCTGGCCACGAGTGTAAGTTTTGTCAGAAGGGACAGACACAATGAATCGTCGATTCCCCAGAAAATCTGGGGAAATGTGGGTAGTGGGGGGGGAAGCCAAAAACCCAGGAAATAATATGGGAAAATATGGGGAATGTTTTGATTTGTGTGTATTTATTTGTGTGTCCCAGGGCCCCTTCATTCTGGCGCGCGGAGCGCGCCAGGCGCGGCGCCGGAGGCGCCGCCAGGGGAGCCCAGCGCGGATCCAAGAGATCCGCGCCGAGCTCCAAGAGTTCATGGTCATGCAGTTTTTCCTCATTCTACTTCTGCTGCATCTTCGGGGGGCCCGGGGACCTTGTCTGTCCCATTGCGCCGTTCCCAGAGATCCGATGTCGTGATTTGTTTCACGCGGGGTCCCAGAGGCCTCGACCCATGCCCCAGGACGGGTTTTTCTATCCTGAGCCGTTGTTTGACGGTCCCCGGGCCCGGCGACGGCGGCTGAGGCCGAAAATTGGGAAACTATATTCCCCTTGGTTTTTTCCATGCGTTGCATCTCTGGGTGATTCTCGGCAACGCGCAGAGGGGGGTAGGGGGAGGGGGAGGGCTTCTTAGAAGCACCCCTGCTTCTTAGAAGGCGCGGGCCTTCTCTATAGACGTAAAGCCGAGGCCTTCTAAGAAGCAGGGTGCTTCTAAGAAGCCTTCCCCCCTCCCCCTACCCCCTTGTGCGCGCCGCCAAGATTCGTTCGGCTACACGCTCAGAGCGACCCTTCGGCGGAGTGCCCTGTATCCGAGGCGGGAATTTACACATGACCACCGCCTGGAGGGTCAGTTTTCTGAGCTTCGGCAGGCGGTGGATATGGACAGACTCGGGCCCCCGGGGGCCGAAAGAAATCCATATCCACCGCCCGCTGGGGCACCAGGACGTCGATTCCCAGGCGGTGGATACAGGGTCTGGCTTGAATAAGGAACACTTGCTTTGCAAGAGAGGCTAGGTCGTTCCTTTGGTTGGCATGCGTTCCGCTACCTTTTTGGCGGCGAGCCCCCCCTGGTGTTCCGTCGGACTTCCCAGACTTCCTTGGACAAAAAAGGGGCTTCGTTCCTCAATGATCGTTCCTTCGGTCAGGCCGAAAACTGTATGGATAAACCCCCGCCTCGCACTGTGCCTGGCATCGCTCGGACGTGTGCATCTTTCCTTCGGCGAGGACCATCGAGGAGCATCCTGGATCATCCGACGAAAAAAAAAAACGCACGAAACCGAACCAAAAACACAGGGAATGGACGTCCGAGCGATGGCCAGTGTCGGGCGACGAAATCTATACATATCCACTGCTCCCTGACCATGCCCATATTGAACCCAGGAGCTGTGTATGCGCCCTCCTGGCCAAGCCAGGAGGGCGTGGCGTATACACCGCTGCGGGGTTGAGGATGGGCCTGGCCTGGGAGCAGTGGATATGTATAGATTTCGTCGCCCTACAGTGGGGGGCGCGGCTCCCTCGAGGGGGCGCGGGAGGGCCCGGCCCCAGGAGCGCGCCGGCCGTCGCTTTTGGCACGGGGAGCAGCGCTCGGAACGAGCCGCGCCACGGGGACCGGTCCCTGGCCTATGGGGTCAAGTCGGGCACGTCCCTCTACACCTTAATTAGGCGATGCTTAAGAAAACGTAAGTTTTCGGCCAGAGTCTCGATTATTCTTAACGTTTCAATGTAAATCTTAAGATTTTAATCGAAATCTTTGGTTTTTATTCAAGTTCTGAGACTATGAATTTCAGGGTGTATGCAGGAGGAGTATGCTAGGCCTCCTAGATGGGGTCGGGGTAGATTCGGGGGAGCGTAAGACCCGGGTTTGCCGGGACTCGGGTTCGCCATCGTTTTTTGACGACCGCGACTCGGATTTTGACGAGGAGGAGTTTTGTGGGATGTCTGCAGCGGGAGGCCTCGTCAAAATGCAGGCTCGGCCTCGTCATTTTTTTGACGACCTCGTCGGGGATTTCCGAGTCCCCCGTATCCGGGTCTTACGTCTCCCCGATAGATGGGGACGAACACATGAACAGACTCAGGACATAGCCAACAGCTGCTCCAACAGATTGGGAAATAAGCGTCCCCAGACTATTGTTCGCCTGTCTTTGAACGCTCCTCCTGGATAGACAGAGGGCTCCTAGATGGGGTCGGAGGATCGCGCCGCATCGCCGATGTATCGCCGATGCAGCTCGATGTGGAGCCCGATTTCCTTCACGTCGACGTCGCCGATGCATCGCCCACGTCGACGCCACATCGCCGGTACATCGGCGATGCATCGGCGATGCATCGGAGATGTATCGGCGATGATGCGCGGTCCTCCGCCCCCATCTACTCCGACCCCATCTGGGAGCCCTCTATCTATTCAGGAGATAATATTCAAAAATAGGCAAAATAGTCAGGGTACGTTTTTTTTATATTATTGAGCAGTTTTTGGTTGTTACCCGATCCGCGGCAAATCCGTGTCGACCGCGTCGAGATGGGGCGGGGCCAGGACGAGGATGAGTCCGTTCCAGAGCGTTTTGGGACGCTCTCAGAGCGTTCCAGAACGCTCTGGGAAGGCCGCGGCGCCGGTACATCCCCTAGAGCCGCAGGATCTCAGAGGGTTTCGATGTATCCCCGCCTGAATTTGGCCTCGTCCTGGCTTCGTCTCAACCCGCGTCACATCCATGTCGAACGCGTCGAATCCGTGCCGCCGCCGCCGCAGCGCCGCCGCAGCGCCGCCGCAGCGCCGCCGCCGCCGCCGCCGCCGCCGCCGCCGTCGCCGTCGTCGTCGTCGTCGTCGTCGTCGTCGTCGTCGTCGTCGTCGTCGTCGTCGTCGTCGTCGTCGGCGCCTCGCCGCCGCCGATCGGCGTCGCCGCCGATCGGCGCCGCCGCCGCCGCGCCGCCGCCGCCAGCTGGTGCGGCGGCCGCCGCAGGCCTCGTGGATGCGGGTGCATTCAGCGCGCTGCTGGCGCTGCTGCAGCGCGCGGACGAGGAGGGCGGGCCACGCGCAGAATGTCAGCATCGTCTAACCAACCCCTCCTCCTCCTCCTCCTCCTCCTCCTCCTCCTCCTCCTCCTCCTCCTCCTCCTCCTCCACTTCCTCCTCCTTCTCCTCTCCTCCGCCTCCTCCCTCTCCTCCGCCTCCTCCTCCTCCTCCTCCCTCCCCTGCAGCAGGGCTGGACCTCAAGTCGGTATCGTCTAACCAACCCCCATCCCCATCCTCATCCCCTCCGAGACCCCCATCAAATTACCACCCCAGTTGGGGATACACCCTTCGAAACCCGAAGGGAACGGCCTGTATCCCCGTCTAGGGGTGTACATCGGCCTGTGAGACCCAGGCCACGCCGCTGGGGATGGGGATCGGTTGAACGATGCTCCGAATGGTGTACGGGCATCGGACGGGGATAAGACGAGGATATCCCAGAGCGTTTCAGAACGCTCTCAGAGCAATCCGGAGCGCTCTGAGAAGGCCGCGGCGCCCGAGACATTTTCCAGAGCCGCGGGATCTCAGAGGTTCTCGATTGATCCTGACCCGATTCGATCCTCGTCTCGGCTTCGTCTGAGGGGAGGAGGGGAGGCTTCTTACAGACACCTCCTTCAAGCAGTGGCAAAGCGTCCTGGCTTGCCTATAGGCCTACCAGGGAATGTTCTACGAGCCTTTTGCGCTCTGCGCGAAATGTTCTCTGACAGTTTCTGGCCGAGATTGTCTCGTTTGTAAAACATCGGCTTTCTGGTCTAAGAACCTTCCCTGGTAGGCTTATAGGAATGCCGGGACGGTCGGCCTCTGCTCAATCGGCCACGCGCAGAGGGGTTTACGGGGAGGGGGGGAGGCTTCTTAGAGGCACCCCTGCTTCTCAGAAAGCGCGGGCCTCATCTACAGACCTGAGGCCCGCGCCTTCTGAGGGGCAGCCTCCTTCCAAGAAGCCTCCCCCCCCCTCGCCCCCCCCCGTGCGCGCCGCCGACAGGGTGGGACCGGCGGTGGTGGCGCCCGCAGGGCCGGCGTCGCGTCGGACAGAGCCCAGGCCTCCGACGCGATCGCCGTCGTCTCCTCCCTCCTCCAGACGTGGTCGCGTCGTGGGACAAGCACGGCGCACGGCCGCTGTGGCTGTTTTCGGGCGCTCGTCGGGCCCCGGGGCCGTCAAGGGCCGGCTGGAACGGGTCCCGGGGCACCGGGTCGAGACATCAGTGGGGCCCATCCAGAAGGGCAAGAGGTCACGGTAATGATGCGTCTCAGTGTTTTTGTCCAGGATTTGTCTCGGTTCTTGATGTTCCATTGTGGTTGCAAAAACGATGGCCGCTAGAGACTCTGGATATCTTTAGACGTATCCTGGGCCAGTACTATCATGACGTCATTCCCGTCCGATCCGCGTCTTGAAAAGATGAAGATTCCGCATGCCCAACAGGGCATCCCCAGTGCGTCGTCATCGTCCGTCGTCGTCCTCGTCCTTGTCCCCATGGAGCATCCGCAGTGCATCGTCGTCCGTCACCGTCGTGGTCGTCGTCGTCGTCGTCGCCGTCGTCGTCGCCGGAGGTTGAAGTGGAGGGGGGAGGGAGGGAGAAGGAGAAGAAGCAACCCGTTCCGGCTGCATGTTCCGCTCCTCCCCCTCTCTCTCCGTTCTTGTTTGTAGCCTTTAAGCCATGTTGGCACCGCCCGCCAGCACAGGCGCCTTTTTCCCCCGCTTCCTTGTTCCACCCTGTCTGTAGCCAATTTGGCCCAACCGCCCTGCTGTATCGGAGGCGCTGCTGTCCCCTTCCGCTGAAGCGGCGCCGCCTGCGTCGCGATGTTCGCCCTCCTGCAGTCGGCAGGGCGTCGACGCTAATCACAGGCGCCGCCGCCGCGTGTTTCAATTCGGCGGGCGCCACTCTGGCGATTCACCCAAGCAGAGGAGCATTTTGTCCTTCGCGCGCCCTCCATGTTTTTTGGCCAGTCACAAGCTGACCTTCGCCGGGGAGGAATATCCCCGCCCAGAGCGGGAAGGCGGCCACTGGGGCCAAGGTCATGCCAGCGGGGAGAGGGTCGGCCCAGCGATGCCCAGCAGGGCCTTTTTCGACGAGGGGGCCCTGCGTTTTTGACCCGCGTTCCCGCGGCCACCTCTAGACTGCACGGCGCCAGCGCCGACGCCTGCGAATCGGCGCCCGCCGCCACCGTCGCCCTCCGAGCCCCTGCTGGCGGGCCGCGCCGAGCGGCCGCCGCCGGCGCCGACGGCGGCCAGCGGTGATGTCGCCGGCAGGCACCCGACGCCTGCGCGTTTCCTCGTCGACGCGGCGAGGCACACAGCCAGGTAGTGAATCTCAGCCACGCGCAGAGAAGGGTGGGGGGAGGGGGGAGGGCTTCTTAGAAGCACCCCTGTTTTTTAGAAGGCGCGGACCTGCCCTGTAGATGTAGGGCCGGCGCCTTCTAAAAAAACAGCCTCCTTCTCAGAAGCCCTCCCGCCTCCCTCTTCTTTGTGCGCGCCGCCAAACATCTCGAGGGCTGGGGGCAGGAGGGGGGCGAGGAACGGGGGATTCGGCTTCCGACAGGCAAGAGAAAAACGTCAGGCCGACATTTGCCGATGAAACGACGCGGGTGGGGGGGGCGCAGGAGCGGAACGAGGAGCGTTTGGAAAGGAAATCAATGAAGCGTCCGTTCGTCTTGGACTGAAAGCATATTGGCGGATAGCGCCGAATCTCGCCGTACGTATAGCGCCGAATAGCGTTGGAATGTCGCCAATAGCGGCCAACAACGCCCAATAGTGCCCAGTAGCTTCGCATGTCGCATGGCGTTCGAAAGGCGCCCAAGGGCAATCAAAAACGCCCAATGACTCCATGTGGGGCGACCAATAACGCTGTGCGCGTCCGATAGAGCGCGCTCTTGGGCGCCATTGGGACGCCCACAAACATCCGTGAGCTGTTTGTTGACAAAGGGTGTGCCAGCCCATTCCCCGGGGCCGTACGTTCTCGCCCCGAGCCGCCCCTGGACGGGAGCGCCCAGAGGCTGGAGACCACGAGGCCGAAGACCGACGAAACGAAGAGAGAAACCCAGCCGAGGCCGACAGCGACGAACAACTTGCGCTTAGATTTCTGTTCAGCGTCGGACGTCTGGGCCGCCGCCAACCGGCGCCAGTCGGCGTCGTCGGCCGATCAGCGTCGTCGTCGGCGCCGTCGGCGCCTCGTCGCTGCCGCCGCCGCCGTCGTTGGCGACGCCGCAGCCGCCGCAGCCGCGCCGCAGCCGCAATCGCAGTCGTCGTCGTCATCGTCGCCGTCGTTCGTCGTCGTCGTCGTCGCCGCCGGCCGGTTTCGGCGTCGTCGGCGCCGCCGCCGCCACCGATGGCGCCGCTGATCGGCGCCGCCGTCGTCTGCGTCGGTCGGCCGATCGGCGTCGGTCGGCCGATCGGCAGGGAGAAAGCCCGCCGCGCCGCGCGGCCGAGGACGCGCGGGCGCAGTCGGTGCAGCCGGCGCAGCCGGCGCATCTGGCGCAGGCAGCGGCCGCGAGCCCGCCGCCAGCGCATCTGGGAGGGGGGCGTCGTCCATTTTTCTCCGGGTCCTGGTCCTGGTCTTCGTGATCCTCTTCGTTTCCTCCTCATGTTTCCTCCTCCTTTCTCTCTCCCTCTCTTAAGCAGGTTAGGCCCCGCAGGCCCGCAGCGTCAGGGAGCCTGGGCGCAGGTGCGCCCAAGGACGGCACGGAAGATCGGCAATGATAGGCAGTATCCAGCGAGCGCCAGCTGGCGGAAGCGGAGCTGCGTGAGGGCGTGTGGGCTGATGGACATCAGCGGCACCTCCACCACCAGAGGTATTCCTTCAGCCACCTCCTGAGATCCTCCACCACTTCCTCCAACAAGAAGGACAGCGAGAAAGCAGGGGCGACTGGTCGGGCCTGGCCACGGTGCCACGCCAGCCTCCGCTGCGGCTGCAACTGCCGCGAGAGCGGTAACTGCGGAGAACCCCTGCGCCACAGGCCGCTCGGGCAGAGGCTCCAGGTCCCGCGCGCTGCTGCAAGACGCTGCAAGGCAATTGACACCAACACCAATTTCGGCGGTGTGCCTCCATCGAGGGAAGAAGATCCCGATCTCGGTGATGGTGGTAATATTCTGGCTTCAAGGTGGCCGAAATATTGGCACCAACACCGAAATCTAGGATCATCTTCCCCCTGTTGAGGCACCCCCCCGTGTTGGTGCTGGTGCCCACTTCCAGGCCTCCAACAGGTACCGTCGGAAGCCGACACAGCAGAGCGCTTCTGCAGCAGAGCGAGACTGGACCTTGGCACCCTCTCCAGCCAACTCCTGATGCTCAAGCACCATCTCCTCCACCACAGCTCTCGGCTGTCAGGCGCGCATCGGAAAAACTGAGCGTGGCGACGATCGGCCAATATAACGGCGTGCATCTCCTCGAGACCTCCCTGCGCGCTCGGAGGGCTGGCCACGGACGCCATGCTGCGCTGAGCTGAGAGCTCCGAACTCGACCGTGAGAGGCTGGCCCATCTACATGCTCCTCCTCCTCCTCCTCCTCCTCCTCCTCCTCCTCCTCCTCCTCCTCACGGCCTATCACTCCCCAGGACACGGCATGCTCCTCCTCACCCTCAACCGCCCCGTCTTCGAGCGGCCTAATTACTCCGGCCACCCGGCTGCGGCGCCCGCCGGCCACCTGATTAGCCGCGGCGCCGCGGGGCAGGCTGGCCACAGAGTGCAGGCCAAGCCCCTCCTCCGCCGCACCTCCCTCCTCGCCTCTCATCCTCGGCTCCTCCGAGTCGGCTCCTCACCTCCCTCCTCAGCTCCTCCTCCTCCTCGCCTCCCTCCCTCCTGCTCTTCCCCCTCCTCCTCCACCTCCCTCCTCGGCGCAACGCGAGATGACTGGAAGCTGCCAGGGATTCGTGGCGGCCAGGAGCAGGCGCCCGCTGCTCCGGGGGGGGGAGGGGGCCAGCATCGGCCGCAGCACGACGGGCGGCTCGCGCGAGCACATCTCAGGAGGGGAAAACACACAGACACAATGAATCGTCGATTCCCAGGAACATATGGGAAAATCTGGGAAGTGGGGAGGGGAAGACGAAAGCCCCAAAAACATGGGGAACTATGGGGAATCCAGTCATTTGTGTGTGTTTATTTGTGTGTCCCAGTTTTCCTTCCACATCGCGACAGTGTTGAAACAGAGCCTCCCGCGAAGGGCTCGCTTCGGCCCCTCTGGTTCGATTCTGTTCGATTTCGGTGGATGCCGATTCCGATCCGATTCGACATCGGATTCCGATTTGGGATCCGATTTCTCGAGGGAGGCCTACTGGCCTGCCGATGTCTACCGCTTCGACTTCTCCCGATTCGGCTGCCGATTTCCGCCGATCCTACTCATTTCGATCGCCGATTCGACCTATCGACTCGATTCTGGGCCCTCCTGCCTAAGTGCTCGCCCGCGTCATCGAGCGAGAGGTGGCCAGGAGCTGGCCGGGTACGGGTAGCCTCCACGACCCATCCCATCTCGGAGGACATCCCACAGAGATGCAGTCGGGGCGCTGAAGAAGGAGCCCTTGTCGATGGGGAGGGGCCTGGTGTTCTTGGATTGTTTTACAGTTTGCCTAGGTTTTTCCTGAGAATTTGCATGGGACATCGAAGTTCAAATTATGGGAAAAAGTGGGCCTCGTTCCCTATTTAGGGTTCCTTAAGGTCAACGCCCCGACTGTGCGAGCACGAGCCTCGAAGGTCGAGGGCGCCAGGATGTCCTTGTGCGGCACGCCGCCCTACGCTGCGGCGAGCGTGGCCGGGGGGACGCAGCTTCGAGGAGGTGACGCCGATCAAAGGACGCACCAGCTGATTAGGAGGGCAACAATCAGGAGAGGAAAAACACACACAGACACAACCAATCCTCGATTCCCCAGAAAATGTGGGAAACTATGGGAAGTGGGGGGGAAGACAGAAACCCAGAAAACATAGGAAAATGTGGGGAATCTTTTAATTTGTGTGTACTTATTTGTGTGTCCTGGGGCCCCTTCAAACAAGGGAGCCGGACGGTGAGGACCACGTGAATCACGACATCTGCCACCCCCCTTTCGCTGCTCCTGATACCCAAGCCTGCGTTGGCGAGGTCGTCGGGTAGGAGCACGGGAGCATCGAGGGCAAGCAGCATCGAATCTGCAAGTATCTGTTGGGGGCCATCGCCCACGCACCCCGCTTGCGCCACTCACGCCGGGGCGGATCGGGCGCTGCTCCCCGCCGTGGCGCTGCTCAAACCTCGCGGGGCCGCTCCTTCGGCAGGCCCGCCGCGTCGCTCTCGCCCGCCGGCTGTGGGCTTCGAGGGGGCGCTTCCACAAGCCTCTTGAGCTCCTCGGGGGCCGCTCGCCGTTCGGGAGAGATATCGCCCTGGCCTGCCGCCGCTCTGCTCCGCAGAGGGCGCTCACAGCGCCTTTGCACGAGCACCTCCGCGAGCGCCGCCGCGGCAGGAGGCCGCGGTGCCCTCGCCCTGTTCGTCCGAATCCCGCCTCAAGGCCTCGCCGTCGCCCTCCTCGGCCTCCTCGTCCTCCGCGGCCTCCTCGTCCTCCCGAGCCTCGCGAGGAGGACGAGGCCTGGCATCGCTCGGACGTGTGCATTTTTTTCTCGGCGAGGACCATCGAGGAGCATCCTTGATCATTTGGCGAAAAAACCACGCACGAAACCGAAAAAAGCACAGGGAATGGACGTCCAAGCGATGGCCAGGAGGAGAGCGCCCGCAGCACCGGCCTGGCGCACCAGTCGCCGCACGGGGCGGGCGGGCAGCACGACGCCCTCCCTGCGGCTCCCGCCCGCGCCTCGTGCTGGGAATCCCGTGCCGTGTACGAGGTCTCTATGGTGAAGTCGGGCACGTCTGTCTACAGGAGGATTGTTCAAAATATATACTTCAAAAGCGTAGTATGGGTACAATCTCGTTTGAGCCTTTCTTGAATCTGTTCAGGGTATGTTTCATTCCTCGTCCAAAATCCGCCTGTAGGGGGACATGCCGGACCTAACTCTATGTCGATCGCCCCGTCATGGACCTCACCCCGAGGATGAGGTGCAGGCCTGCCTTGACTGCAAGCACCACCCGCACCAGCATCTCCCCTAGCGGCTCGCGGAATGCCACTCTCGCCGAGAGTGTCATCATCCTCCACAGGGTCGCGTCCAGCGGGTCGAGGATCACCACCCTCGTTGAGATCAGCCCGAACATCGTCGCGATCAAGGCCAAGGCCAAGCTTGTATGCCCGCGAAGGGGCGGCCGCTTAGGGCACAGGCGGGTGAAAACTAGCAGACGCTCATGTGGTGAAGAAAATCTCCTGTCATACAATTCCAAGAATGTTGGTCTTTGGCTGCTACTCTCCAGTCGCCGATCCCGTACTTGTCGCAGAAACACTGGACATCAGATTCCCACGTTGTCCGCGGTCTCCCTTGGGACCTGTTTCCGGCAGGTGACCATGCAAGAATGCGTGACAGCCATCTGTCGGCAGGCAGGTTGGCGACGTACCCGGCGAAGTTCTAGTATTGGCGAAGCAATGTTTCCGACCAAAATTTGGTCCGAGTGCCTTGCAATTTTTCCGTAACACGCTCGTGCCACACATGCAATATCCCATGCCATAGGCGGGTCCAGTCGACCCCGCCTGGCGGCCCGACATTATGTCGAAGAAGCTTGCGACACGCAGCGTCCAGCTTCTTCCTCTCGGCTGCATAGACCACGCGGTGAGCAGAACCAAACATGGCAATCGGGGTGATGACGGCGTGGAAGTAGTTCAAGCGCAGCTCAACCGGTACATGCGTCGCTGCTAAGATATACCGGCTCGCGAAGAAAGCCCTGGTAGCAGCTTGAAGATGGTATTTCTGGTCCTGCGTCACAACGTCGGTCGACAAAATGCATCCTAACCATTTGTGAGAGTTCACACGTTTTATATATACACCGGAGGGGAGCAATGGCTTGTCAGGCAAGAGCAAGAGATCGTCGCGATCATCACCGCCATAGATTTCAACATCGAGCTCACCGTGCGGGATCTCGCCGCCGTCGACATCGAGGCCCTCGGAAAAGTCTTCGTACTCTCGGAGCTCAATTTACCTCCCCCGCTTTCGCTTCCAAGCGCAACCAAGTCAGACCTCGCACCTCTAGTTTGGCAGCGCGCGCGCGCGTCCCGCCCCCCCTCCCTCCGCATCGCAGTGCAAAACCATGGAATTCCCAGATTCCGCCCCAAACGACGTTTGGCACCGTGTCACGATGATTTGCCCCCGTGCCAGCAACATTGAGTCGTGCTGGAGTTGTGCTAGAACAGTTCGGTACAATACTGGGAAATTTGGTGCTGCAATGCCGAGCTCGCGCTTGCATAGTTGTTTTGCCCATGCGGACGAGGCCGAAAAGGCACTTGGTAGCATGCTGGAAACCTTTCGTGTTATACCGAGTGGTCCTGGTAGTCCACCGGAGCGTCGTCCGGTACGATGTCGGGCGTCGTTCTGGACATTGCTGTGGAGATCGGGGCTCGGCAGCGCGAGGGGGCGGAGGGCGCCTC